ATAGTTTATCTAGTTATTTACTCTACCCTAACTCTATGACTAGGATCAGTCTATTGATGTACCTTATAACTACCAATAAAATTACCCTTTTTCTAGTTATAGATTGATTGCAAATGGTAAAAGGAAACCACAACTGTTTCTCCTAAATAGCTAAAAGCTCATAACAGTATACATCTTTTTATACTTAATTTTATTGTTTTGTTTTCCTTTAACCCATGTCTAACTACTTATCCCACCACACAAGTTGAAAATAGCTAAAAGCTCATAACAGTATACATCTTTTTATACTTAATTTTATTGTTTTGTTTTCCTTTAACCCATGTCTAACTACTTATCCCACCACACAAGTTGTAAATTACTCGTTCAATATGCAGCTCACTTAACCTTATCAAATTATGTAATGCACAAACAACTCAAGTGCATATCTCATGAAGAACTGTTATTATTATTAATTATGTTACCTATTATAACCTTATCTAACCTAACAAGTTTTTAATTTTTACATTTTAGTTACTTTTATAATACTAAGTAAAGAATACACATGAAAAACAAGAAATATAGTACTTACTTGGGTCTTGTTGTTTTTTTTGCTATCAACTATCAATGAAACTTTTTTTATACTAATGGTACTACTATACTAAATAATTTTGATTTAATTAAATAATGCACCTAAGAATACAGAATGATAACATGCAAAAAGCAAACATCTTATAACTATCATGTTTTTTCAAGCTTTCTAACTAAAAATTCAGCTAAGCTTGTTTTTGTAATTACCATGAGAAAACATGTTTTGAACTGAAGGTGAAATAGAAAATTGTCTGTACAGAAAACAACATAACATAATACATCATTATACATTAAAATTTTGGGTTTCTATTGGTTATAAATAATATAGTATAAAATGTCAAAGCAATTTGTGAATGAAAGAATGTGACAGGAGGGTATGGCAAGCGAGTTTGATTTGCTAGTTTATGGTTCTGTATACAAACAAGATTGAAGGCTATAAAAATTATGCTTTGCCTGAGTAATATCTATATTATAATTAGTAATTTGCTTTAAATTCTGTACCTCTCGGACGGTGATAGATAAATTAAAGAAGAAAGACTTAGACAGCAAATGCCACAAATCTCATAGTAGGAGATAATGAGTTTTTTTAATATTTCCTTATAAAATTAAGAACTTAAAACTTATATAATATCAAAATTTGATTTATTATCTATGTTTTGATGCCAAGTTTATTTATGTACAATGATAATAAACTAATTTAATTAAATTTTGATTGTAATTGTCTAAAAAGTCGTGACATGCTCACTTTGAACTGTCCGTAGCAAATGGGTTAAAACTTCTTGCTTTATTATTAACATATTGCAATCTCTTTTTTTTTTTATCTGTTTCACTACTTACAAAGTTTGACATAAAATTACTTTTATTTTACCTTTTTTAATTTTTATGCACTACTCTTATGTAATACATTATCAGTATTTACTGCCAATTTCTTTTATCAGTTGCATTGTTAGACATCTCATACTTCATGTTCCATGTGTCAGCATTGTTTAGAACAATGTTTTCTTTGCGATTCAAACAACACATTCAGTAACAATTATTGTTGTCAATTGTCCTTGGTAAGTAAATATATTGGTTACCTAAGTGGTTGGTGTAAATATGCTTAATTATTATATTCTTTGTTTGTTTGTTTGTTGTTGAGCACAAAGCTACACAATGAGTATTGAGGTTCGGTTTTTAGTATTTTAAGCCTTCAGACATACTACTGAGCCAATGGAGGGCTAATTATTATAGTCTTGCATAATTTTATGGAAAACCAAGACTAACATCATTTACGTTAGATATGTATGGAAATCATGATATGTTTTTGTAGTTGTTTACAAAATTTGCAAATTGTTTTTAAAGTTCGAAGCAAAAGATAAATACAAAGTTCAATCTAAAAACAATCAAACTCGGCAGAATAAATTCTGCTAACAAGTTGCTAGAAAACATAACTCAATATAGATTTAAAAAAACAGTTGAAATAATTACTATGAAAACTAAGTCAATTATTTAAAAAGAAATATTCTACTAATGCCACATTTTCTTTCTGAATGAATAAAATAAATAGATTACTCATGCTTTAAATAATTAATATTATTTCAGTCTTTGGGTTTAAGTGTTTGTTTTATATACAGAAAATTATAACAAATCTTCAGGTTTGATGACCAAAGAATTATGAGTATTAAATCCGTTATCTTTGACTTTTAAATTTAAAAATCATGACATTAAAACAATACATTTAGAGTGATATTCTTATACATTTGTGGACTTTATTTATGCATGAAAATCAACACAAATTAAATTTACCCATAAATAAAGGGTACATAATATTCAATCCATGTGTAGCAAACAACTACTAAAATTTTATAACAATTCTCTAAATTGGTGGTAAAAAAAGAGTAACACTAAAAATCAATCCTTATCAGCAAAAGAAAAGCTAGCAATAGAATAATTATTTATAAATGAAAACAAAAAGGATTAAATAATATGAAATTAATAATAGATCTTCATATCAAATTGCTGTATTCCAAGTATTTGAAAAGAAAAATGGAAAAAATAATCCAATTAAGCACAATTAATATGCTATAAAACCTCAGTGATTTAGGTAGTATTGTAACTTACCACAGCAATCTTGAATCCAAGTGGCCTATTTACTTGAATCACTATCTGTCATGAAGAAATTAAATAAATTTTAAACCTGAATACCTTAAAACCCAATTACAAAATTAAATAGCTAATATTTTATTGTATTTTATAAAAATGCAGTGACAACTATATAAAATGTTCTAGAAATAATACCTACAATGAAATGCATGTAAAAAAAATGTAACTCCCCCTCTATTTTTCATGGATATTTTACAATGTATAAAGTAAATATTTTGTGGGTGTTTTAGCACCCAATTAGCATAAGTGTTTATACCTGCTATGAGAAACTGAATTTTCACTTCCCTGGCATACTTTGATTAACACCTGAGCTATCAACAAAAACAATATGTAACAAGTCATTAACACAAATACTAAGTGACCATGCAAAGCACCAATGAGTTCTTCATGAGTTACACTTCCCTAAGGATACTTCAACTTTCGCTAATTTCAGTTTAATAGCAATAATGTGCTTTGGCATGAGCTATAAACTCCTCTTGCAAGTAACCAAACCCATATAATGTCTATTGAACATATTATCTCAACATGCCAATAGAACAAGTCAACTTGTACCTAACTGGCTGCTAAACATACATCAGGACATGCTATCATGTAAACCAAGCCAAGATTCACATTGTTACTACGAATACTCTCATATTGTTGCACAAAATAACAGTGGTTTTCCACACAATTGCATTCCATTATTTTTAAAAATTTTTTCATTTTATTGCTGTTCGTCCACATAATAAAGAACTGGATAACATGTAGGTTACAAAAACCTTTATAACTGAACATGGTCTTCAAACTGAAAATTTCCTTTCACACTAATATATACCACATTTAATTGATATTTAAAACAACAATCGTTCTGAATGATTTCATATGTTGTCAAGAGTGCTTGAATGTTTATAATTCATTTCAGAGCGTGTGATGATTAGAAGTAAAATAATGAAACATATTTTTAAGATTTTCAATTATTTTAGATCTGAAATAAAAACCTAATAAGAAATAGAGGTGGGTAATTAATTTGATTACCCATGAGCATCAATTACACTGATTAGTGTCACATAAAATAATCAGTTAACTGAAATTACAATTAATGTCATGAACATAATTAAGTAGTTGAAATTAATGTTTCTGATTATCAATCAGAATAGAATTTTTCATTATAATGTTTGATCAATTCAAGTTTGTTCAGATTAATCAGCATCACCACTCACAAAAATAATCAACTAACTGAAATTAGAGTTTTCAATTATTGCTATTTTTGATTATTCCAACTAACCACATAATTAAAATATTACCATTATGATTTATTTTCTCAGTTTAGTACTTAATGATTCTTTTTTATATTTCTGTTCTTAATATTTTTTTAAAACTTCAATTAACATCTTATGAATAATTTAATCTCTGCAAAGAAATCATCTAGCATCATAAGTTTTCTTGCCAATAGTAAAAGTTGTATTGTTTGTTTTTCTGTGGTGATTAGAGTCAATTTGTTTTCATTGAATTATATATTATCTAGCACACACACTGTGACAAGAATATTTATAAATTTTATCACATAAACTCTTAGGACAATTATTTTTAACAATTAATTAGTTCTTTAGTAACAGTGCACTAAAGCTAGATATCCCAGCAATTTGTAACAGTACTATACTCTTTTTTTTCTTACAACAATGATTTTTAATGAAATATTATTAATTAATTCTCCAGTTTTTCATAACAATCCTATGATCTTCTCAACCTTAATGACTAGTTGGTCATACAACACCCTTTACTATGATGAAACATTTTTTAATCTTATGATCTTTTTCTCAACTTTAATGACTAGTTGGTCAAACAATACCCTTTACTACACTGAAACATTTTTTTAAAGGGCATGTACAGGGTAGGGTGATTGATGTTCAATTAAACCAAAAATGTCATATTTAGTATTTTACTGATTTACAAGTAACATCATCAAATAGTCCATTTTCATCAACAAAAATTCAGTAATTTTAGTAATCTTGTAAAAATATATATAGGGAGAAACTCTAGGAAAAAATTAATTGTATTATCAGCTAATTACAGGTTTCTTCTTATGTTGCACATATATACTTTTCACAACATTTACGATTAAAAAGTAACTTAACCCATTAACTACGGATGACGGATATTTTCATAATTGAGGTTCTATGGCTCAGCTGCGAATGACGGAAATATCTGTCAGTCGCACATATATAACTATAACTCTATGCGAATGACGATAATTAGCGTTTTGTTGTGATTGATAGCAACTCAGTTTTATCTGTGAGTCAGAAAACAGCAACTGAGCTGCTCCTGCAGCGGTTAATGGGTTAATATTAAATTTCTGTAGCTAAAGAAGTCAATCACATTAAATAAAGGGTAGTCCAAAAATGTCTTTAAAAAACCCAAAATAAGTTGGAAACAGGAATATTAGACACGTGTGAAAATAAATTATTAGTTGAATGTAAACAATTAATAAGCCAAATGATTAATTGATTAGTAAACTCCACTAATCACCCAGCTCTAGTAAGAACACAAGGAGACAGAATAATATTAATAACACAGATCAAAATACTGTAATAACAGTCTTCATTTTCCCTTAAAAACATAAGATTGTCCTCAAAATATTACTCAAAATATCCCAGCCTAGATCAATTATTGGGTGACCTAATTAGGTGTAAACTGTCGGACCAACTTTAATGGCAATTATTTTACTATTTCATGCAAGGCAGATACATTTTTGATACTCATTCTATTATATTGTTGCCATTTAGATATGCATTTCTCTCTCTTTTCATTAATAAATTTTAGGTCATTGATGGAGAACTTAGCCTAGAAACATTCATAATTATTTTTAAATGTTTATGCTGATGGTGAAATAAGGAAAATTCTGAAACATTCATGTTCTTTATTCTTTCAACAATTTTATGATTTTAGGTTTCCAATAAACAAGTCTTGAGCTTATTTCACTGTAACAATATCAATTTGCCAAATCAGCAAATTTTCCCATTTTATTTATCACATATTCCAGATACTGTTTTTTTTGCAAAACATGGCTTGTTATCAATAAAAACAGAGAATGTGGGAGTGATGGGGTTAGATTTTCAAGGAATTTTCCAGAACCTCCAAATACAAAACCAGTGATTTTTCAGGGTTTTCAGTACAGGAATTCTTTTACAAAATTTAATGACTTACATGACCTGTGCAAACCTTGATGTAAATGAAAATATATATTGATACTGATGCTTCAGGTGGTAGTGAATTAAAAAGTATACAAAATAATAACTTACTGGCTGTACAGAGTGATCTAAAGAAAAAGGCCAAGTACTGAACTTGAGAAGCCCTTTCCTACCATTAGTTGTGGCACCTTCTGGATGAACAACGACAGGCAGGTCAGAATCTTTAAATAAACAACATATGAAAAGTGTTAATAATTAAATAAAGAAGGCTGACATTTTAATGGGAATTAATTTCAGGTTTACAATTCAAAATAAATCTATTATAACAATGTTTTATAGTACATTTCTTGAGGAGGATATCTTTATGAATGCAATTAACTCTCTTGCTACAGGCAGGTCACGACTTTTTATGGAATTACATTCAAAATTTAAATAAACTACTTTATTATCATTGTATAAGAATAAACTTGGCATCATAACTTATTTGATAAATCAAATTTTAATATATAGGTTTTAAGTTCTTAATTTTATAAGGATTATTTTTAAAAACCTCAGTTTCCCCTAGAATGAGAATTGGGACATTTGCTCCCTAGGTCTTCCCTCTTCTCTAATTTATTTACCACTCCTTCAAAAAGTAAGGAATTTAACATAAAGTACACGTTATAATATAAATATTACTCAGGAATAGCATAATATTTAAAGCTTTTAATTTTATTTGTTTAACCAACCATAAACTACCTGTCACATTGTCTCTTTCACAAATTACCAATTGTTCTCTCTGATGTTTTAATCTATCAAATGAACAATTATATTATGTTGTTTTCTGTAAGGGAATTGTCTATTTTATGTTTTAGTTTTAAATTTATTCTCATGGGAATCACACTGACAAGCTTAGCTGAATCTTTAAAGGCTCTTATTGCATACTTAGAAACCCAAAACAATTATGATAGTTATAGGCCACTGTTTGCTTTTTGCATGTTATTATTCTGTGTTCTTAGGTGCAGTATTTAATTAAATAAAACATTATTTACTGTAGTAGTAGAACCATTAGTATAAGGGAGTAAGCTTAAGTTGCCAGGTAAGTACTATATTTCTTCCTTTTCATCTGATTTCTTTCTTTATTATTATAAAAGATATTAAAATGCAAAAATTAGAAACTTATTAGGTTGGGCAAGGTAAGACAATGAAAAAATAATAATAATAATTATTAATGAAGTATGCTCACAAGTCTCTCATGCGTTATGTAATTTGACATGGTAACATGAGCTCCAAGTGATTTACAACTTGTGTAGCAAGATTAGTAGTTACACACAGGTCAACAGCCAATAAAACAATAAAATTAAGTATAAATAGATGAATATTTAAAGGCTATTTAGAATAAACAATTGTAGTTACAATTTGTAGTCACTGTAGAAAGAGAAAAGGTTAACTTAGACTTGTTTCCTTTTTTTTTATTGTGGTTACGAGGTCGGTCAAATTGATCGAATGGATATAGAGAAAGGTATAGAAATTAACATGGATATTTATTTAGGATATTTTATAGATTACACAAATTAAATTTTACAATTTTCAGATGAAGAAAAGCATTTTTAACCTTAACACTAAAATCATTTTGCATTTGGAGCAGTCAATACTGATTCCATATATTCATGGATAACTTTTTAGTAAACATACTTAAACAAAAAAATTCTGATTTTTTTGTGTACAAATGACTTGTAATGTTTACTAAAAACTTGCCAAATTTTGTGAAGATGCACAAAACATATTAAAAGTTATTGTAATGGAGACTCTGATGGTTATTTTGGGGTCACAAGGTCAGTGTAATCCACCAAACCTGTAGCAAGAGGGTTAATCAAAAAAGTAATGTTTTTATTGTAATTTTTTATGGAGAATCATAACTTAATTAATATTTGATAATTTTCAGTATTTCTGCAATTACATATAGCATTTATTAGAGTGAAAATGGCCATTTTAGAAGTAAAATGTAATTCCACTAAATACTTGCTCCTTCTAAAACATTTAGCTACTTTCTCTTTATCAAAAAAAGTAAACCCTTTTTTTTACTCTCTCCACCCCTCCTACCACTTGGAGCTTTACAATCATTTAAATACAGTGCTGGAAAAACATATTGCATCACCCAATTTTTTTCACACTTTTCTTTGGAATCATCATCTGTTTTGAGGCCCTAATGTGTTCAATGGATGATGCAATACTGTCTAATTATTACATCAACAGCTTATAAACTGTCTGGGTATTGCATCAGCTGTTTTTGGCTATAAATAAATGTTCTCACTGAGAGTCAGTTTAGAAACCTATCTGTTACAATGAACATGTGATGCTTCATTGCCAAGGGTTGTGAGTTAACACTTTCCCAACAGGCATCTTTTTTTGCACATCATGAAGTTATGGTGAGTTACATTAAAAATTTAATTAAAACTACTTACTTATCATGGCATATGAATAACTACAGCATAAAAACATAGTTAATAATCCAAATTTTAATAGTATATAAGTTTTAAGTTCTTAATTTCATAAAGAAATATGTAAAAAAAAATTCCAAATTTCCCCTAGAATGAGAATTGTGACATTTTTCTCTAGGCATCCTCTCTTCTCTAGTTTATTTACCACCCCTCCAAGAAGTATGAAATTTAACTTAAATTACTCATTATAATATTGTCTTCACTCAGGCAAAGCATAATTTTCATAGTCTCCAACCTTATGTAGTTACACACCAATAAAATAAGAAATCAGATCCCCCTTTTGCCACGCCCACTCATCACATCCTCTCTTTCAGAAATTGCCAGTAGTTCTCTCTGATATTTAATACTATATTATTTATAAGTAATAGAAAGCCAAGGTTTTAGTCTATCAAATGACACACTATATTATGTTTTTGTACACAGAATTGTCTATTTTGCTTCCAGTTTAAACTTTATTCCCATGAGAAACACATCGACAAGCTAAGCTGAATTTCTAACAGCTCTTGTCGCACAGTTAGAAAAACCAGAAAATTTGGGATAGTTATGGGATGTTGTCTGCTTTGAGAATGTGATTATTCTGTGTTCTTTGGTACATTATTTCCTTAAATAAAAAAATATTTTGTGCAATAGTACCATTAGCATAAAAGATTAGGGTAAGTGTCATCAACAGTTGACAGCAAAAAAAGATGACCCAGGTAAGTACTTTATTTCTTGTTTTTCATATGTATTCTCTACTTATTATTACAAAAGTAACTAAAATGTAAAAATTATAAACTTTTTACATTAGATTTACATTAGATAAGGTTAGAGTAGGTAAAATAGATAATAATAACATTAAAAATTTTTCACAAGGAATAGCTCGTGCATTATGTAATTCAATAGGATAATATGAGCTACACATTTGCCAAGTAACTTACAAGTTACATGGCACGATTAGTAGTTATACACAGTTCAAAGGGCAATAAAAGAATAAAATTTAAGTATAAATAGGTGTAAGCTGTTATGAATTTAAAGCTATTTAGGGTAAACAAATGTAGTTTCATGTTACAATTTGAATTTATTCTAGAAAGAAAAAAGAGTAACTTAGAATTATTTAATTTTTTTGGTGGTTACAAAGTCAGTCAAACTGACCAACCTCAGATAGAGTTAGGGTAGAGAAAATAACATAAAATATAAAGTTTTACTCAAAAAACATCTGATATTTATTTAGGAGGTTTTAGATATTATGCAAAAGAAATTTTAGATTTTTGAGATGAAGTAAAGTATTTTTAATCTTAACATGATAATCACTTTGCATGCTCATGTGCACACCTTGTGAAATATTTTTATTACTTTATTATTATTGTTTACTTCACCTAATCTAACCTTAATAACCTAGAGATCTATATTTTTACATTTTAGTTACTTTTTATAATAATAGATAATGAATAAACATAAAAACCAAGAAATAAAGAACTTACATGAGTATTTTTTTTTTTGCTGTCAACTATCAATGACTCTTCACCCTAATCTTTTATACCAATGGTAGTAGTGAATTAAATAATTTTTATTTAATTAAATAATGCACCAAAGAACATGAGACTAATAGCACGCAAAAAGTAGACAATTTCCCCTATCTCAAAAGTTTTCTAGCTTTCTAACTATGCAACAGGAGCCGTTACAAATTCATCCAAGCTAGTCATTAGCTTTCCCATGGGAATGGATCTTGTACTCTCAGTGAAACTGATGATTACCTGTTCAGAACACAACATTATACAATATGCATTTGATAGATGAAAACCTTGACTTTCTATTGGTTACAGGTAATATATAATTAAACATAAGAGAGAACTATTGACAAATCCTGAAAGAGAGGATGTGACAGGCGATAGCTCTGTAACCAAAGAAAATTGAAGGCTATAAAAATTATGGTTTGACTGAGCAATGACGACTTTATAGTGACTAATTTACGTTTAATTTCATAGTTTCTGGGGGTGGATAAAAATAGAGATGAGAAGATACCTAGACAAAATGTGTCACGTGTGTAACACTAGGGAAAATTCAATATTTTTTAAAATATTTCCATATAAGATTAGGAGCTTAAAATTTATATACTATTAAAATACGGATTATTAGCTGAGATTTTATGCTATAATAATTGATACAACATAAACAAAAATCAGTTTAATAAAATTTTGAATATAAGACACTAAAACCTTGTGTCATGCGCAGCAAAGGATACCTGGGGCGAGAGGGTTAATAAAGTAACATATCTATGTTTGGATAACCAAAATATGACTCAACTTATACCACACAATGTCTACAACCATTTTACACTAGTTCTGACACTTCCACAATGCACAATCTTGTAAAAAATTACAGGAACCAAAAACGTGTGAAAAAAATTAGTTGATGCAATAATTCCACTACTGTATGTTTCTGAGAATTACTACATGTGATTTGACACGTATAATGCCCTCTACTGTTATAATCTCTGGGTCAATCCTCAATAATGTAGCATTTCATCCACCTGACATCCATATCCCACTTCTATTACTTTACATCAGTGACAGACAACTCATGACCCCTGAAGGTGAACTTACCCCCCCCCCCACACACACACACATACTTCCTAAAATATGTTTCAGATATAGCCCATTTTTATTCAAATACATCATTTTTGATTTATATCTGGTAAACTTTGTGGCTTTTGAGTATGTTTGGGGACTGCACATTTGCCCTACAAAACAATATTGGTTATCCACCACTGTTTACCTAACTTACATTTCTTTTTAGCACCTTTGAGAAATTCACATGACATGTTCTACAACTCTACTATTGTGTTGTAATGGCACTTCTTGGGACTGAGTTCTTTATTATTTGTCTATTCTCTGACATTTATTTTCTTGTTTCATGGACATTATCTCACCTTTTCCAGCTGTTTGGGTGAAATTTCAAATTCTGAAGTCCTTAAGGTGATGCCATTTTTTTTTAAGTCTGATTATTTACATTTTTTTTAGAAGTTCCTAACTTTTTTTCTCAAGGTTGTGTTTTATGGTATATGCTTCCATCAAATTTCCTACCCTCCAACACTTTTTGGACCTTCATGTTATTGTTGTTACATTACTTCTAGTGACAAGAAATAAATATTTTGTATTTGCAACTTCTTCAGTAATGTCTACATTTAGATATGTAAAATGTTAAAGATACAAGCTGATTAAAAAAAAAAACTTTGCTAATGTACTATATCAATTTTCACTCCATAAAAACTCAAACTTCGCAGGACAACAAGGTACCCTTACACTTTCTAATGTCTCACTCAAATGTTTTATAAGGAAAAATTCAATGAAACTTACCTCTCAGATAGCGTTTGACATTTTGTATTAAGACATCACGTCCTTGCTTTACACCAAAATCTCTTATTCCAAGAGCCCAATTTAACTTTTTTGGCAAATCCCAAACACCTGGCTGGAGAACCATAAATGATTAGACATGAAATATCAAATGGAATGCTTGACTGAAATTTTTCTATATTATTATTAGCTACATTTATAGCTTGCTACATACACACACACAAAAAGGCCTACATGTATTTTTCTGAAATACAATAGTCATAATAACATACTAAAATTCAACTTTAAGTAACAGCAACATATAAAGATCCTGGCATGTTTGAATATGTCATCAGTCTAAAGCACCTAACCACATTTATGATATAATTGAAGTATCTAATGTGTCTGTATGTGTGTGTGTATGTGTGTGTGTGTGTGTGTGTGTGTGTGTGT